AGCGGAGACTCTCGAAAGCTGGAGATGCCGGAAGTATAAAACATCTGCTAAAAAAGAAAAGAAAAAACAACAAACGCCAGGCAGCAAGCGGAGCCACCCCAGGAGAGAGGGCCCGTGGGTTACTCCCAGCAAGGCTGTGGAGGCAGGGCCGCCTAGCCCTTGGGAGCCGTTATCACAGCCTGTCCTGGATGCTGGCCGCGGAGCTATCGGAGTTGACACTTGCCCTGCAGGTGTTAGGTCTTGCCTTGGTCTGATTCCTCTCTATTCCCCAACTGTTCCATTTTAAAATAGAAATATTTATGAAAATAATTACTGTATGCCCCTGTGTGCTGAACACACGTCTCTGTCTCCGTCTGTGTCTCTGTCCCCGTGCCTCTCTCTCTCTTTTCACTCAGGGCTTTTCTTTCCATGTCAGCCTCTCAGAGAGCTGGGATCTCAGGCATACCTCTTCATTTTAACTTTTAAAAGTGGTTTCAGACTTGGGGCTGGGTATGTAGCTCAGTGGCACAAGCACCTGCCTGGCAAACGCAAGGTCCTGAGTTCAAGTCCCATTACCAAAAAAAAAAGAATAAAAGTGGCTTCAACTTTCTTTTTGAGTTTTACAAGGGCCCACAGCTAAGGGTTTGCTGTGATTCTCAGAAAAGGCCTTAGACTTAAACTTCTTGACAATGCTGAAACTCTTAGAATAGTTCAGAGATGACCTGAATGCATTTTACATAACGAGATAGACAGGAGCCTTATGGGTGCCAGGGATAAATGTTAGATCTAAAATGCCCCTAAAAAGTCTTAACAAGTTCAAAGGCGGGGCTTTTAAGAAAATTCCAACGCTAGAGATTGATCCCCAGGCCTTCACAGTGAGCTACATCTCTTCTTTTTAAGTTTTTAAATTTTGAGACAGAGTCTCACTTAGTCACTAAATTGCATAGGCTGGGCTTGAACTCGCAATTCTCCTGTCTCAGCTTCTGAGAATGCTAGAATTATAGGCAAGCACCTCCGGGCCCAGCTCAGAAACTAGACTTTACAAAGGTAATTGGATCTTGGGGCGCTATCCTCACCAACGGATGAGTACATAGCCGAGTAAGTTTTTATTTTTATTTTTTTTTGGTACTGGGAATCGAACTTGAGACCTTATTCTTGCCAGGCAGACGCTGTGCCGCTGAGCTATATCCTCGGGCCTCCCCGAGTAAGTTTTCAGGAAGTGGGGCCGAGTGGGACGTGAGGGGTCAGTGGTGGTGTGACACGTCCCCCACCACTCCCCCCACTCTCTCTGTTCTGCGTGGCTGCCACGCGGTGAGCAGCTCTGTGCCTCCATGCCCTCCTGTCGTGCCATTTCTGCCTTGGAGCCAGCTGACTGCTTCCTCCGCCATCAGGAGCCAAAATAAACCCCTTCTGCGTCAAGTTGCGGGTGTGGGGTATTTTGTCCCAGAAACAAAAAGCGATTAATACAGCAGCATTATTTATGATAGTCCAAAAGTGGAAGTAACCCAAATATCTTCCAACTGCTGACTGGATAAACAAATGTCATACCTTCATACAGTGAGACATTATTCAGGTATAAAAAGGAATGAAATACGGATGCATTTTATAACATAGATGCACCTTGAAACATTCTGGTAATTAAGAGAAGGCAATCACGAAAGACCACACATCGCACAAATCCAGATGTTCAGAACAGGCAAAGCCATGGCGACAATATCTATTCATGTCTGTCATTGGCTGGTGGGAGGAGGGAGGAAGTGACTTTGATAAATATGAGATTTCTTTTTGGGAGTGATGAGAATGTTCTGGAATTGCATACTGTGAGTAGATGGTTGTATAGATCGGGTTGTACAATTTTTTGAACATATCAAAGTCTCTGTTTTTTTTTTTTTTTTTGGTACCAGGAATCGAACTCAGGACCTTGTGCTTGCCAGGCAGGTGCTGTGCCACTGAGCTATATCCCCGGCCCAAATCTCTGAATTTTATGCTTTAAAAAGAGCGAATGAATGAAAAAGTGAATGGAGTAGAACATGGAGTGTTAATAACGAATGAAGCCGAACACTGAGTCTAGTGTTCGCCGTGAATGAAACACAAACGTTGAGTCCGGCACAGAGAAGATAATAGAGTTCTGTGTTTGCTGCTACAACTGAGCAGAGAAGAATGTGTTGTCCGGTGTTTATGGTAACCAGAGACTGGTTCCATGTGTTGCTGAGTTTCATGAGAGGAGAGTGTGGTGTTTACGTTAATGGCAAATGAGACAGAATGTCAGTGCCTCTTTTTTTTTTTTTTTTTTGGAGACAGGATCTCACTATGTAGCCCAGGCTGGCCTCAAGCCTGCAGGGATCCTCCTGCTTCAGCCTCCCGAGTACTGGGATCACAGGCATGGACCACCACCCCTGGCTCAGAACATCAGATTCATATAAAAAGTTAATGGAGTGGTCAGTGTCGTGGAGAACAAGAGAATAGTTTAGACACTGTTCTGGATTGAAGGAGTCAAAACAGACTAACCATGAAAGGGATTTTCGATTTATATTTCTTGACAATGAGGGAAATTTAAATGAAGGTTCTATATTGTACTGAATTACTGAATTATTTTTAATTTAATTATTTCTGATTCAGTTATTGTTGAATTAATGGTAATTCGTTAGTTGTGACATGGCATTGTGATCCTTTTTCCTTGTCTTCACATGAATTGTCACGATGTCTGTAGAGCCTTAAGAGAATTCACCAGAAATGCATCTACCTGCCTACCTAGGACCTACTTATCTATCTATCATCTATCTATCTATCTATCTATCTATCTATCTATCTATCTATCTATCATCTATCTATCTAGGGAGAGAGGGGGAAGATGAATATAAAGTGATGGAAGACGGTGGGACCAGGTGAGGGATGTGGCGAGTTTAGCACATTCTCATTCACGTTGGCTGAGAGCGGAGTGTTAGGTGCGGTGCTGGTTGGAGATGGTGCGGCAGCCGGGCTCAGCGTGAGGCCCGAGGAAGCAGGGCGGGGCCTGGCGCCCGCGGCAGAGCAGAATGTTGTGTCTGGCGCTCAGCGAGCGAGCAGAATGTGGTTCCGATGGAAACAGTGAATGAGGTGGAAAGCAGCTGAAGAAGCCAAGGACAGGAAGCGGCAAGCGTTGCTGGTGAAGGGAACAGAACGCTGCGCCTTAGCTGGGGTGAGTGGAGGAGAGCATGGGGTCTGACGTCAGCAGTGAGTGAAGTTGAGCATATGTCTGCTGGTGAAGGTAAATGAAGCAGAATGGGAGGTCAGCGTGGGCAGTGAGCGGGCAGAACGGCGCGCTCATCGTCCGGCTGAAGGACAAGCAGGAGTGGATGGAGTGGAAAGCGGGGTCTAGGATCAGAAGGGAATGGACCAGAACGTGTCTAGAATAAGGGCAAATGGAGCAAGATGCGTTGTTTTGGGTTAACAGTGAATACGGCAGAAGATAGTTTGAGAGTTAATAGTGAATGTGGTGCTGATTCTTAGAAATGCAGAAACCACGGAGTGTGGTGCTGCACCCTCTAGTTCCGGCACTCGGGAGGCCGAGGCAGGAGGATCACTGTGAGTTTGAGGCCAGCCTGTACTACATAGTGAGACCCTGCCTAAAACAAAAATGTAGAAACAGATTGAAGTTTGTTCAGAAAAGGGTTGTTATGGTCTGTGTGTGGATGTCCCCCCAAATTCTCATGCAGTCATGGGACGGGCTTCTAGAGTTATGATTTATTTATGCTCCAATGCTGGGATTATGGATGTCAGTGCTACACCTGCCCTGGGGCGGGTAGTTTGCATATGTAAGAGAGAGAAAAGAGGCTGCTTGCTTCCTCTCCTCCCTTTCGCTCTTGTTGCTTTTGCTATTTTCCCGCCACCATGAACGGTTGCCCTGTGCCATGCGCCACTCTGCCTTGGAGCCAGCAGAGTATGGACTGAAACCTCCACAGACTGAGAGCTAAATAAACCTTTCCTTCCTTAATTCTGGGTGTCAGGTATTTTGTCCCAGCAATGAGAGAAAAGTAACAAAGATAGGGTTAACATAGCAGACAGGAGACTGCTGTTTAAGAGAGACCTGCTTGCACGATTGACTCTGGGCTGGTACAACAGGGCTGCGGGGAATGTTCCCACTTTCCCCACTGTAGGGGTGGCGCTCTGCCTTGACTGCGTGCAGTCAAGTGATGTGTGCTTTATGCCCACCATCTGCTTTCCACCTGCAGGTCTGGAGTTTTGGTACATGCCGGGCCCTAATTAAAACTCTAGGTCCTCAGTTTCTCCTGAGTCTCAGCACCGCCTGTGTGGCAGAAACATCACACGCACGTCTGCATTTCATTGCAGGAGCTAGCGTGCTCTCTGTGACTCCCCATGGGAGGGGAGTAAGAAAGCTATGCATGGCTTCCTCCCAGCTCTGCCTGTGTGCTTCCCCCTTGTGATCTGACAGTGTATTCTATGCTGCAGAGTAAATCTTACTGTGAGTACAAGTCTATGCTGAGTCCCATGGATACTTGTGTCAAATCTCTGACTGTGACTATGGCCTTGGAGATTCCCGACACAAGGTATTGACCTTTAAGGGTGAGAGAAGCAGAATGCTGTACTTAACTCAAAAGGGACAGTGGAAGACAATGTGAGGTTGAGATGTTGAGTTTTAAAGACTTTTTTGTTGTTGTTTTCCTTGAGACTGGGTCTTGCTATGTTGCCTATGCTGTCTTTGAGCTCCTAGACTCAAGGAATCTTCCTGTCTCAGCCTCCTGTGTGGATGAGACTGTATGAATGTGCCATTGCATCAGACAGTTTAAAAGGGATTGTTTTGTTTTGTTTATGTGAAGTTTTAATAGTAAATGAAGCCGAGTGTGTGCCTGATGCTGGTAGAGAACCGAGCAGAATGAGGCGTCTCGCAGCCCGCGCGGAAGGTGATATTGACGGTAAGGTTGATAGATCAGAATGCCAGACCTGTGTCACAGGCGGGGCAGAGAGAGGAGCGCTCTCCCTGTCTGTCCAGGCGCTCTGTGCTCTTGGGCAGGGCCGCTTACCTTGGGCAGGGATGCTCGGGAGCCTGAGCTCTGAGTCGTCATGGTGAGCACGGTGGTGATGCCCAGGCCCACGCGGGCTGGTGCCGCATCCATGTTGATCCAGAAGGAAATCCACGAGAGGATGACGATGAGCAGGCTGGGGATGTACATCTGGATCAGGTAGTAGCCCATCTGCCGCTCCAGGTGGAACCGGGCCTCAATGCAGGTGAATTTACCTGCAGGAAGTCACGGAGAGAAGGAATCGTAGTATGGTGCAGAGGAACCAAGGCTTCATTCCCAAATGACTGTGGCGGAGTCTTGGTTCAACCTCCCAAGAGCTGTGTCCTTAGGCAAGTGTCTGAATCCCCCTGCACCTGTTTTCTCATCCGTGTAAACTGAGGATGCCAACTCCACTTGGGTCTCTGCATCCCCAGTTCCGCAACCATGGGTGCAACCAACTGCAGGTACAAAACGTGCAGAGAAAAGACTGCACGTGTACCAAATATACAGCCTCTTTTCTTGGCACGATTCCCTTAACAGTGCAGTAGGATACCCATGTCCACGGCGTTTAGAGCGTGTGAGGTATTGTGAGTAGTCCAGAGATGATCTGAAGTACACAGGAGGAGGTGCAAATACTACACCACTGTATACAAGGGACTGAGCATCCTCTGATTTTGGTAGCCAGGTTGGAGGGGTCCTGGAACCTCGCCCCTGTGCTTACCGAGGGGTGATGCTACTGGTAATAAATAACAATACCTACTTCACATGGTTACTCGCACGGCTTCGCAGAAGGTCCAACGAGCTCGCGCGCATGGAGAACATAGCCTGGACCTCACAAATTGTAAGTGCTCCCCCTCGCCCCTGGTACTGGGAATCGAGCTCACGACCTTGAGCTTGCCAGGCAGGCACTGTGCTGCTGAGCTAAATCTCCAGCCCCAAAAGTTTAGTTTTTTTTTTTTTTTGGTACTAGGAATCGAACTCAGGACCTTGCGCTTGCCAGGCAGGCACTTGTGCCACTGAGCTATATCCCCTGCAGATTGTAAGTGCTTGAGATTGGCCCGGCACTGGCCCCGCCCATCGTCATCGTCTTCGTTATGCCTTTAATGCTAACATGCAGCTCTGGCCACCCTTTAGCCGCTTGTCTTCCCCAAACGTGGCGTGTCCCTGCTGCTTCATGCCCCTTCAGCTTCTCGTAAAACCTTCCCTTTCTGTCTCCCCTTCAAGAGGAAGTTGTATTATAAGCAGAAGTTCAGATTCCGCCCTCTGCCCCTCCTCAGTGGAGCCCTAACCTGTCTTTCTGACCCCTCCCCCGCTTTCTTCACCCCGTCACCGCCCCCTCCTTTCCCCCTCTTGCCTGGAGCATGTCCTGCACTTTCAGGTTCCTGAGCCCCAAATCTGGCCCATCTCTTTGGCTGCAGAACCCCAATTCCGTCTCACAAACAGGAGCCGTCTTTCCCCTATGACAGTTTACATGTGCAGTTGTTGTAGGCAACTGAGTAGATAGAAATATTAGAAATACGGTAGCAGTCAGACGGGGCCAGGCCCTGCAAGGAGCCAGGGCAGAAGATGGGATACCCTGCAAATGGAGAGACAGGCACCTCCGCTGTGGGCCAGACCTCAAGGCAAAAGATGAAACAGATGCACCCACACACCTCCCTAGGGATGGACATCAGGGATTTATATTCTAAACAGGTAACCACCACCTTGAAAAAGCCAGGAAGAGTCACTAATTCAACCCCTACAGGAAAGGCCCCTGTTCTGTTCATACCTGCTTGCTGCATGACTTGCTTCCCAATTTGATCCTGATTGAATCAATTTTACCTGAGCAATTATACATGTAACCTTATTGGCTGACCATAGTTTTGTCCCACCTCATACCCACCTTGTGATTTCCCATTTTTTCCCCACCTTGAACCCGCCTCACCTCGTGGTTTTGCCCTATAAAGTCCCACAAAAGGCAGGGTCCTTGGCAACCCACTCGGGCCCCCCTTCTGTCCCTCTCTCGGACAGAAGCTTTCTTTCCCCCAATAAATATATTCTCTTCATAACCTCCGTTGTTCCTAAAATTCATTCTTTGATTTTAGAGAACACGAACTCATCCCAGATATCTTTCAGGTTGGGGGTTTCTTTCCCCTACATCATAGTTTCAGCAGGTGGGTGCCTCTTGCTCCCGTGACTTCCCTCCACACTGTTCATGTGACCACCACCGCTCGGCTTGACAAGGCATAACTACATAGAGGGAGGGAGTTGGTCCCTCTCTTCCTGTCTCTGCCCTGGAGCCCACAGCTTGTCTCCCTGCATCTGTGATCCTGGGAGTTGGCATGGGGTCCGTCCCAGGGCAGAGTCTAGCCCCCATCCACGGAAACACAGTACCTAAGTGACTTCTGGAGCTCCCTGTGTGCCCCATGTGGGCAGGACCTAGGCAGTCTTTTGTCCTAGCACAGGGCTTAGTGCTCACCGAAATGTAACCGGTAAGGGGCAAGTGAGATAGTGAATGCGAATATTCAGAGTACATTCAGGTTGTCTCTACATCTTGTGAACAATGCTGCCCTGAACGAAGGAGTGCAGACACCGCTTTGAAATACTTATTCAGTTTCCTTGGCAGAGACACTAGACATGGGATTCCTGGATCAGAACGCAGTTTTCAATAGATGAGTGGAGAGAGAAAATGGGACATTATTCAGCCTCAATAAAGAAGGAAATCCTGCCATTTGTGACGACGTGGAGGAACCAGGAGAACATTTCCATACTAAGTGAAACAAGCCGGGCTCTAAAAGACATGTCCTGCATGATCTCTGAAACAGCCGCAGAAGCAGGAGAGTGGCGGTTGCCAGGGCCTGGCTGGGGTGAGAGGTGGGGTGGGTGGGAGGTTGGTCAGAGGCTTCACAGACTCAGCTATGCAAGATGAACAAGTGCCCGAGGTCTCACGGATGGCGGTGTGATTCACGTGAACATGGAACTGCATTTGAAATTTGCGCAGAGGGTAGATCTTGAGTCTTCCCGCCACATATCACGCTGGTAGATACATGAGGGGATGGATATGGTAATTAGCTTGATGGTGGGGTTATTTCTTTTTTAATTCTTCAAATCCCTGGGGCAGGCCTTCTGTCCTCTTTCCCTCCCTTCCTTTCTTCCTTTTTTATTTTTTATTTTTTTCAGACAGGGTGTCTCTGTATAGCTCAGGCTGGCAGTCCAGGCTCACCTCAAATTTAGTAATCTTCCTGCCTCAGTCTCTCAAATTCTGGGATTATAGGTGTGCACACTACTCCCAGCCTTCTTTTCTTTTCCTTTCTCCTTTCCTTTCCTTTCCTTTCCTTTCCTTTCCTTTCCTTTCCTTTCCTTTCCTTTCCTTTCCTTTCCTTTCCTTTCCTTTCCTTTCCTTTCCTTTC